ATTCATATATACTATATATATATATATATATATATATATATATATATATATATGCACACATTCATATATATATATATATATATATATATATATATATATATATATATATATATCATACACATACATATATATATATGCACACATTCATATATATATGCACATATGCACATATATATATATATATATATATATATATATATATATATATATTCTTCTATATATCTTTTTCTTGAAATACTTTCAAGACCCTTCAATAACCTACTTCATATTCAATATGAAAGAAAAGGCTCATAAAATATTATAAAACAGAAGTGCTGTCCTCCCTGACGAACCCAATGAATAAAAAAAATATATTTTTCTACCCACTAACTCTCTCACAACCACAACCAAAAAGAATTTATCTAAACTGAACATAAAATTTGTCACAAGTACATTTAAAACAATCAAAGACTCAATCAATAAAAAATAAAATAAGTCAAAACTTGAAGGAGGAATTTACTGTATTAAGTGCAGGAATTGTCAGAATGAATACATTGGAGAAACCTGAAGAATTTTCAAGACTATATGAACACATAAGGGACATCTTAAAAAACAACACGCAAAACTCATTGGTTGTTCACAATAACAGACAGATTTAATGTTTTTTATTGGGATTTTATCTGTAAAACATAATTGAAGAAAATGATGTGATCACATTTTTATATATAACTTTTAAGTATTTAGTAATCTTTAAAATTTAGGAAAATAAATGTAATGTATTGTTCTAAAATAAATACTTCTAATGTAGTATAAAAATCATTTTTTATTCATTCTGCGAAGTTTCATAAATGTGTATATAATAAAATATGATATTCTTAAAATATTGGTAATATGAGATTAAAGACAATTTAGTTTTAAAAAATTCCAACTTCTTGATCATTGTACTGCTGATGTTCCATATTTCTTTATTTTGCTTTAATTTTTCGCGCACTTCTTAAGAGAGGGGGTTACATAAGAAAATTAGGGTTGTGACCTAGGACATCACAAATTACCGTGCGTAAATAAACGTTATTTTCATTAATTCTTTTTAAGAAAAACTTAATCATTATTACATTTACAAAGTTCAGTTTATTAATCGTTAACTTTACTGACTGACACATCCCTAGGATAAATACTGGAAGTTTTTAAGAGATTTTTTAAATTTTAATGTTTACATTTTTCGTCTTTAACGGCAGTTCGACGAGTCGATAAGTGACTAGTGAATGCGCCAGTGTTTTTTTTTTTAATGACTTAAAACTTTATATGCGGAAATTAATTTTTCTTTTGAATACGGATTAGCATTTGTTGGACTATTATCGTTTAAAAAACCAAAATTTTACGTCAAAGACAAATTTAAAAATGCCTTTTTGTCGTTTTTGGTTTTTTTTCGGAAGTCCGTGGCGGTACCTAAACATATTTGACAAGTGATTTTTTTTTTTAGAAAACTGTATAATATAACCAATAAAACAATAAATGTAACTTTTGAAGCTACATAAAGTTTACGTCCTAAACACTTTTTGCCTTGAGTGTTAAAAAACTGATGTACAGAAAGACATTCAAAGATACCATACATAAATCACTGACCTCCACAACTACCAAAAAAAAGACACCCAGAACACCCAGAAATGTAACAACAAGGTATAAATTTATTTTAGTTTAGGCTTCAAATATATGTAGTTTGTAGTAGTTTTATTGAATAACCACAAAGTTTAAAACTCGTTAAAATAAAAACATTTTATTTAGAATATAGTAAAAAAAAAAAAAAATGTTTTAGATTTTGCTGACGTTATGAAGTAGTAAGTAATTTGACTTTCCTCTGCAATAATTGTTCGAAAAAAAATTGTTTTCAAATAAGTGGCTATCATTTCTTTCAAAATAAAACAAGGATTATTATGAAATTAAATGACTTTTTTTTTAGATTTATCAAATTGCCAAAATTTAAAAATAAATTCCTGGATTACCGAATAGAGAATTTGAACTAAAAAAATTATATTTTGGTTCAATAGAGGATTATTTAACGAATCTGTCATCACCAATATTTCTTCATAGAATTTTAAATGGTCATAATTTCGACCGCTTTTTTTTAAGCTTCTAACTAAATACAAAAAAAAAAAAGGTTTTAAAATTTTTGGACGTTTTACCTCAAATCTTAGGAAAGGAAAGCTTTTAAGGCTTTTCTTAGCTCCTGCTTCTTAATAATATGTTTGAACTTTGTTTTCTATGAATTCCAAACGACAATATTTTTTTTACCCAATTTATTTTACTTGCATCATATTGAATTGTAAAACAAAACAAAATTCAAAAGTAATCTTTTCCTGTGAGTGGGAAAAGACACCATTCATTTTTAATGTTTAAAAATGCTACTAAATTGAGAAATTACTTTTTTCTTTACCATAATTAAAGAAAATGAAAGAAAAATTTAATACTAAACTAATGAGAAGAAAAATATGTAAAAAAAAAAAATATTAAGTAAAAAAACTTAATTGAATAGAAAGGTAACTAAAAAATATAGGAAAGGCCAGGTTTTATTTTTTATACTAACAATCAAAATATCGTAAGGTGGGAGATAAACTGAATATTTTTCAAAATCAATAGATCAGTTTAAAACTACATTCATTTTTAAAGATTATTTATTTATCTTTCAAAGAAAAAAAGTTTATTTAAAAGTCAAAAACGAACTTAAATTAACTATGAAAATATATCATCAGATGCAAACAATAAAGAAAGCACAAATTCCACGTGTGAAACTAAAATATATTCTATACTGGAAAGTTAAAATTTCCCTAAATAAATAAATTACGTGCGACATTAAATTATAATAACATGAAAACAAAGATTAATAAATTATTAAATAAAAATGTTCCTTTATTTAAAATAAATTATTTCATTTTTACCTGGCCGCAAATATTAGAAAACAAAAGAGAAAATGAATTCAATGAAAGTTCGGGTATATTTTCTAAGGATTCTAAAAATGCGATATTTAATTCAAGGAAGTTAATAGAAAATAAAAGAAAGACACTTTTTAACATTAAAGTAATCGTCAACAAAGTTACCGTTTTCTTTTGGTAAGTTTTAGTTGCAAAGCAAACATATGATTTATTTAATTATGAAAGTAGAGGTGAGAACTAAAATGTAATTGTTTCATATTTTCTCAGCATTTCAAACGTGAAGAAACAATTTTAATTCACAACAGAGGAAAACAAACCCAAACCCAAATTAACAAAAGAATAAACAAAATAAATCTCCAAGCTAAAAATCCTTTCTTCTTTTAACAACGAAACATCATTTGAAGTAACGAACAGACATGGATTTTTTATTTTATTTTACTCTGACAGCCGAAAACAATTGAGATTTTTCCCTTGTTTTATATAATTTCAATGCTGAAGAAATAATTTATAACACGTTTGTTTATTTCTAATTTTCATGTTTCATAGAAACTATCAAGAGGAAAATATCTAAATAATGTGTAGGATCAACTTAGAGAATCTGGAAGGATGCGTATATGCGGCTTTTCAATCCGAAGCTAAACTTAGTAGCATCCATCTTGGCCTAATAAATAACATACAAATAAAAAGATTTTCATGTCAAACACTAAACGTCTAAATCTATTTTTTTAAATCCCAGTAAAATGTTAAATATTTTCATCTTTGAAACATTTATAAAGAAATGATCTTTATCTAGATTTCTTGTGTAAAAAAGAAAAATTAATTCATAAATGTCGATAAAATTGAAGACGAAAAACCAAAACTAGGGGACATCGTTTGCACACATTATTCAAGTCAATCACCTGGTTTTATCTAAACATAGATTAAAAAACTTAAAAGGTTTTCATAGATTCATAAAACATAGTTTTTGATATGATTTAATGACTAAAGTTAGATTCCCTAAGGTTAAGGTACATTTAAGGTATATTTATTTTTTTTGTGTGTGTAACGAAAATTCTTCCAGTGATCAATAACAAAAACATTTAAAACCTCCAAATCTAGGTTAAACAAATTTTATAAAATATTCTTGAAGAAAATATCACATAATTTTACAAAAACAAAAAAAAAAAAACAATAAATCGCTCTCGAAAGAAAACTCTACAAATTGACTTAAAATTTCAACTTAAAACAAGTTCAAGTACACTACACTACTACACGGTGAGTAATGTTTTCAACCAAAAAGATGAGCGCTATTTAAATGTTTAATAAATATTTACTTTCTATAAAAATACAGGTTGAAAAAAAAAGAACAGAAACTAATTTAATCTAGTTATTTTTGCCATAAAATCATATACAAAAATAAAAAGACATATATTAAAAAAAGAAAACTGAAAGTTGTTATCCTTGCTTGCAAATAAGTAAAAGAACTTACTAGCAATTTACCTTACAAAATTGAAAATACGCACATTAATCATTAAAAGAAAAATCCTCTTTTACATTCATGTTAATTTTTTTAGCCCTAATGAACCACTAACACGTTTTTGCCAAAATTACCGAAAATATATAACAGTAAATTCAGTTTTAGAAGAAATCCGAGAATAAATCAACTCAACACTAAAACAGAAATATACAAAAAAAAGTAATCTTTGTAACATTCATTCACGTGTTAAATTTTTACTAAATTTTCATCATAAAATCATAATTTAACGGATTCTTCCTTCGCCCATAAGCGCTTTATTTAAAAATAAATTATAAAATATTTTTAAATGCTAAAAAAAAGATAAGAATTATTTTCTTTTAGCATCTAAAAAATCATTAACGGCTAAAAAAAAAAAAAAAAAAAAACGAAATATTTAACTGAAACAATCAAATTGTGACCAAACAATAATTTTGTCAACATTTCAAAGTGTTTAGTTTAGTACACTAATGCACGTGTTTTTTTTGTTTTTTTTTTTGTTGTTGTTGTTTTTTTTTAATACTTTACAATACATGGGTTTTAATTGTAACTAGAAAAAAATGAAGTGGACACTACTCCAACCGCACTTGTCAATTTGAGATTTAATTTATTCCTCCACCCCTCCCCCTTTGCTTACCTGGATGAATGTAAGGTTCATCAATTCCTTCCAAGTTCCCTTGGGCGGCTGCAGCTGCTCTTCTTTCTGCTTCCTCATCTTCACTATATTTGAAATCTGAATAGCCACCGTCGGAGTCATCGTAATCTTCATCCCAATCCAACACGTGGATATGTTTATAGTCTTTGACCATGTGTTTGGGTGGCTTGGAAACTCGGCCCGATCGCGTCCTCGGACGGTGTTTCTTTCGTTCCTCTTTCTCCTCTTTAGTCAACTCTGGACCGTCGATTTTCTCCTCTTCTTCCTTATTTCTCCGACGGTAGGGTCGCCTGGGCAACTGATTGAAAGTAACAGTCTGTTGTCCTTGTGATTGGGTCTCAACCTGAGTTTGCGAAATACTACCGTCCGACCCGACTTCAGTGCTGGCCCCACTCCCAGCTGATTTGTGCAGCTCGGACGGATAAATAACTTTGTACACAATTCTGGTGTTTGTTTGGGGGTTATATAATATGCTGGACCCTTCGGCCTGGGTGTTGCGAGCCAGTTGTTGTTGTTGCACTACTTGCATGATTTGCTGCAGTTGGTCGGTAGTCAGCTGTTGTAAAGGCGTGTATTGGTTTCCTTGCTGAATGATCCGAATTGGATTTTGACTAGATCCCAATGGTGCTCCGCTTTCATCATTGGAAGGGGCTAAAGTGATGCTAATGCTACCCGAGGAGATACCGTTTGAAGACTGAACATGGTCATTCTCCATTTCCGAATCGACCCCTTCTTCGTTTGGGTCCAGCTGTCCGTTTTCTACAATCCCTTCACTGTTAACTAATTGCTGGTCAACACTCTGAGCTGCCATCTCATCAGGATCCATTTCCTCATCAAGGGCAGCATCCTCGTCTTGTTCTTGTGGATGATGAATTGCCTGCATGTGGTGGTGCACAACCATTTCATTGCATTCAGTGTCATTATTTACTTCATCGCCGATGTTAGTGGCGGTAGTGTTGTCATTACTGTTATCAGCGACAGTAGTTGTTACACCCGATGTAGCAGCTAGCACATGGGCAGCTGTCAAACCCGCGTGTTGACTGACTAGGGTTTGATGTGACAATGCTTGGTGGACTATGCCAGTACTGTCGTCTGCAATACCACTACTTCCAATGTCGGTTGTAGAAGTTACGATCGCCTGTGATAACGAATTATGTTGCTGAGCATGGGAAGAGTTTGCAGGGGCCACAACAGTAAAATTCCCAGCTCCATCAACGTATCTGTGGTTTTCGATGGCAACTGGTTGTTGTGGTGTTGGTGACGGAGAAGGTTCTTGATCTTCAACATGTTGAGAACCTCTGCCACTTTGGTCAGCTGCGACCATAACGACAGTAGCATGTCCAATTCCATGATGTTGTTGTTGTTCTTGTGTTGACACGGCTGGAAGCTCTTGTTGCTGTATCTGTGTTGTTTGCAAGTGTACAACCTGAGGAATGGACAAAACACTGGACACAACATTATTAACAACACTGTCAGTGTTGTTTCTGGAGACAACAGTTGTATCCATAGTGTTATTATTACTGATGACTGGGTCCGTGGTGACTGTTGACTCATGTGTATTTTCTGTAGTATTGTTGTTCTGAGAAAGAACAGCAGTGTTGACGACTGTATTTACAATATCTCCAGACGGCCCAACTACACTTACCACACTCTTCGTCGTGGAACTGTTGTTGTCAACTGAGGATTGAGTGAACTCAACAAGATTATGTGAGGCTATGGCCTGTTCTAGGATGCCTCCAACTTCCTCTTCGACCCGCTGCTGTGGTTGATCCAAAGAAGGCTCGGTAGAGTCCTCAGCGCTAGCCACCATCATACCATCATCGCTGGTCACTACCATCGTCGTTGGTAATCCGCTAGAAGCCCCGCCGTCCACAACGACGACGTTTTCTTGTTCCATGATGTCAGTGACATCTTCTTGGTCGGCCATATTGGCTGGGCCTCACAGCAGCAGCAGCGGAGAAGTAGGAGGAAGAGTGAAAGTGGTAGGAGGGAAACAATCGAAGTCAGACGAAGTGAGAGCTCGGCTGCTTTCGGAATCAGCAAATATTTTTCATTGGGAAGCATGCATCCAGGCATTACTGTCCGTCAAAAATCTTCTACAAGAAATTATGGACAAAAAATGTTAAAATGGTATATTTTGTGGTTACTTTAGAAATTTGTTTATCCAAAAGCACTAGGAGCAGCTCGCTTGTTAACTGTAGTCCTGGTTACTATGGTTAGGGGATTACTGGCAACTGAGCCGGAACTCTTCTGTCTTAATTAGAGAAGAAGGAAGGGAGGAAAACAAAGAATGTCACGTGACTGTCTAGCGCCAGGTTATCTCCCCTTTTTTTTCTGTCGATTTATTTTGTTTAGGCTACGATTAGCTTGAAAGTAAACTTTATGAAAATACAATCTTTTTTTATCCTAATTCTCGATTTGCAAACCATAGTTTTCTTATAGATTTGCATCCATTTCACGAACTGCTATATTTTCAAGAAAAATTCTCAACATGCTTTTTGTGTCAATGCCATGGAATATTTTTTTTTTAAAGTTTAGTAGAGGTTAAGAAAGAAAGGTCGGGGGGGTTCACTTGACTAAAGAAAGAAGGACTCTTGTCAACAATTATGAAATCTAGAGTTACATCTAAAAATCCACAGGCTTTTTGATAATTAATATATTTTTATCTGATTGTCTAAAAGTATACTAAATGGTAATTTTCTTGGAAATATTTATTGACTTGAACACGTCTTAACTTAAAGACAAGATTTAACCACGTGTACTTTGTTTTGGTTTATGCGGTGGACGGAATTAAATTCAATCAAAGTTTGTTGCAGAAGGACAACCATTTCATAAAGTTGATAGACTTGCGTAAAACAACAAAGTGCTGTTTATTTGGGTTTTTTATCACTTAAGGTTTGTATTTTTATTTTTAAAGATCTGCGTATTAGTACTATTAAGAAGTGTGTGTGTGCGTGTGTGTGTGTGTGTGTGTAGAGCAGTATAATTTCAAACTTGCATCTCTCCGTATAAAATTTGTTGTTTTCAATTGACAACGATTCGTAACATATATTTGTGCATGGCCACTCAAAACTTTTAGAAATTATTGTGTAATGAAGTGTTTTTATTGTCTCTTTAAATCGTTTGCTGTTTTTTTTAGCCTTAGTATTTAAATTCTACATAAGATTTCAGAACGGATCTGTGTCAATCCGAACAGAATCAACCTTAATTCTATACTATTTTTTCAAATGATTTTCCTCCTAAAAAAAAACTCTGCATTAGTTTGTAATTTTAGTAGAGTGATATGTATGTTTTATCTCAGTACTTTAACATTTTCTTTACTTTAAGCGATGACTTTTGAGAATTTATTCAAATGAACTACACTTTTTCTTCAATTTAAGAAGTTCATCACATTTTCATGTGAAGTAGATTCTCAGTTAATCGATGACTCTCAGTACCGGGGCTTAGGCTGGAAGCCTAGGACCTCAAAATCTAGAGTGCTTCCAGCCAAGGTGTTTTTTTTTTTTTTTAACACTGTCATAGACCTTTCTTACTGTCATAACGCACTGTAGACTGTAACCCTTCCGTAATTTTAAACACACACTCCTCATCGTCCTCGGCTTTACTAGTCAAATTAACACTCTTCCATTTTCTTTTCCTCTACTCGTGAGAATAGGGGATTTGGAATTTGGAGGTGGCTTACAAGTGGAATAACCTCCCTTTCTTTTTATGTGCCATGTCCTTTCAGGACGTAGGCGATCATGGCTCTCCACTTCCCCTCTATCCTTTGCAGCTCTCAACAAGTTCCTTCCCTCTGCTAGGTATGTCATGCGTTGTTTTCCCTTCTCTCTTTCCCTCTATTCGATCCAGGAGTATCAGATTCTCCACACATTCCTTCCTCATTATCTATCCCAAAAACTTTAGCTGCCTCTTCCTAAGGCTCCTCCTTGTTTGCATCCTCTATTCATCTCAATCTGGCCCTGATGACACTCCCTTGTCACCATAGGAGAGGATTCCAACTTTTCTTATTGAAGCGTGTAGCACTTCAGTAGTAATTGATATTGTGAAGGATTAAAAATACCGGTTACCTAATCTTAGAAAGTCTAAAATAAAAATCAGCATGAGCAGAATTCTTTTTATTGACTTATATGAAAACCACTCTGTCAGGTTCATGGATCCTTTAAAACTGATATTGTTTACAAAAAGTAACTTTTAAAAAGTATTTCTATTCCATTGAACCATTCTTCTTAAAGTGATTCTTCTTAACGTATGTGCCTCTCCCAAGGTTTAGGTAGGTACTTCCACAGACTTTATAAAAAAAAACTAAAAAACATTTATTTTGAATAAAAATAAATTGGTTTTGCATTTATTTGAAATATGATAGTCTGAACTACTCTTGAAGTTAATCTGTAAAAAAAAAAAAAAAGTTATACGTTTTTAAACTTGCAAAAACATTCCTAAACAATTTTACCATGAATTATCTAATGATCATTTTAAAAATTATTTTCAACTAGACAATGCCATGCAACTAACCATTTTTTTTTTAATCTGAGAACAAAGAGAGGACACAAGTAAAATAATTTTGCAATAATCAACAAGCGAAAGCAAAATGACATATTTTTATTACTACAACACTCCCAAGAAAATAAAATTTTGAGAGTAAATGACCCATTGGGAGTTGATATGCTGTTAAATAAACAAAACAAAAATAAGTTACTGTTTTTATTTGTTTATTGTATAAGAGCTACAGTAATCAAGACTGTAAATCACCTTGCTATACCATTTCACCATGATGCTTTGTCATCTGGTCAGATAGGCCATGTTTCCTGATCTTTGGAGCAGGTGAAGATGAAGTTTGTGCATGTGTGGATGAAACCACATAAGACTATGGATCCAGCCCGAAAACAAAGTTGTGCAAGCTGTTAGTGGCTCTGTAATGGTATCAGGTTTGTTCTATTGGAGTTCACAAGAATCACAAGTGAAACTGGTGTTTATACTTACAGGCAGTGGCACCATCTTACTAGTTTGCCCAAACTGATTCTTAAAATTATAAAAGCTTAGTGAACTGGTTGTTGGATTATCCAAAATTTATCTTATATATTAATAGTCGATGGTCTAGGTAAAACGTGAGTTACTCTATGTTCATATGGACACTTAGTGAAAAAAAAAGTGGCAAATCTAATCATAATTTGATAGATCTTCTATTGGATCTTTGGAACTGCTGCAATTCAGTTCAAATGTGGCTAAGAAATGATAACAGCTAATGACACTAAAGTAGCATCATACTTCTGAACAGTAATATGAGAACAGAATTTCAATCTGGAAATATCTTAATAAATAATTTTTTTCTATTAAATCAAAATGGTTTAATTTTTGATATGATAAAGTGATTTGTTTCCATTCTTAGATTTAAAAGAAAATAAGCAGAATAGGTTCCTAAAGATTACCTGCCTTCATAGAATCCATTCCTGGAAATTTATGATGCCACCACAGCTTACAGGTGTGATACAGATTAAGTTTCATCTCTTTATGCTTGTTGTCCCAACAAGATAACTGTTCATTATGCACAGGTGACACAAGACTGGTGACAGGAATGCTTGACTGATTTAACCTCCATATACACCAGATTCAAACCCATTAAATATGTATGTGACGTATTGCAAATTTCCTGCAACCACCACCAATAAGCACAACTAAATTACAGTTCTGGATTAGACCTGAATTGATCTACTCATACAGCATTAGCTTGTAGATTTTATACTACATCATGGAACTGCTGTTATCCAATCAAAAGGAAGAGAAATGTTTTTTGCTATTTGTCTCTTAATTTCTTTTGCAGTGAAAGCATTTAAACATCTAATTAAAGCAATTATCATAAGCTGTATATGACAAGAAAGCAAAGTTGGCATATAAATATAATAAAATAAAAATGCTAGCTACTAATACTAGCAAATAATATAGACAAAATCATATATTTTAAATCCAAATTGGCCACTGAAAAACTAGAGATTTGAAAAAGTTACAACTTACTCATTTTCAATTTTTCTTTCTTTTTTTTTTTTCAGCTTATAAAGCATCCCTTGGAGATTAAAATGGCTGTGTATGATATCCAGCAATAAGTAAAATTCATTGAGTTTTTATATTCCAGTGAAAGATCAATTATTCAAACTCAGAGAAAATACCAGCAATATTTTAATGTCAGAGTATCTCCTAGTGATAACATGATTTGGGACCTAATCACCTGGTTTGAATAAACTGGATCAGTTGTCAATCTTCTGGCAAAGAGGTCTGAAGTGTACTGATGCAGCAGTGGAAGCTGTAAAGAAGAGTGTCCTTGAGGATCCATCAGCTTCTAGCTGCCGTCACTCTGCTTAACTAGGCATTGCCAGAACATCACTTCAGAAGATTCTGAAACTGTATATAAAAATGTTTCTATCTAAATAAAATAATAAAAAATTAAGAAAAAAACGTGTTCATAAAGGTTATTTTGGTTTTATATCATTCAGTCTTTCAGTGGCCATCCTTTATATAGAATTTTATATAATAATATAACAGAAAATGAATGAAAATTACAAGAATATTATGTGATTTTTCCGATTAACAGACCTGCCAAAAAGTACTTAATAGATAACTAGAACACATTTATGTTGCAATAAAAATTCAATAATATTTGCTGAGTTTTTGTAATATGCAATAAATGTAGTCACAATTTAATGTAAAAATATGTGGAATCCATAATTAATCTAGTAATTTAAAAGTAAATAATCAATAGCTTTGTATATGATGAATTATACAAAACTTAGAAATTTTCAATAATGAAATTTTTGTGTATATATATATATATATATATATATATATATATATATATATATATATATATATACACACACACATACTCACATAGGTGTACATAAAGTTCATGTGCACTTTAAAAAATTTATAACTTTA